TATGCAGTGGGCTTTTTAGTGGTAGAACCAGGTGATACTCTGTCTTCAGAGAGGTTCAATAGTAGTTAAACATATTTCAGTGAAGTTGGACTTGTCTCCTTGAGGCAAGTCATTTTGTGATGTTTGGTCCTGCATTGCTGCAGGCCAGAGTCACCAGAAGTCAATATTATTTTTTTTCCTCCTTGTTGCCACTTCTCCATCCACTCCAACCTTTACCTCCTTCCATCCTATCATTATGGTTAAGTCAACATGAAGTGATCATTACACTTCTTGGGTAGCTTCCACAAAACTCTGTTCAAAGGTCAAGGTATGTTCACTTGGCAACCAAGTTAAAAGATGCTACTGAGAAAAGGGATGAGTGGGAGAGAAGATGGATGCCCTAACTCTGTGATATGTTGTAGACACAATTCACATTCTCAAGAACTTAGACTAAATGAACTTGGAACTATTTGTATAACCATATTAAGGTCATGATGACTCAAGCAGCTGTGATTGAGATGAAATGGATCAATGTTTGTGTAGGCTATGGGGAGGGAGGGGGTGGGGGTTGGGGAGGGGGCATATAAATCATGATGGAGCCCTTGATAGTGATGGATCTATATATATGTTAGTGGGGGTTCAAAATTTTAACAAATTATATTAGTATGTATAATTTTAACAAATTTTACTATGTACCTTATAATTTATAGTGGTATGGTCCTACTCAACCTTAAGAAAATATTTTAATCTATCAGTTATTTATGGTGTAAATTTAATCTCTAAGTTTTTAGCAAAGTGCCATATTTAGTTCTGCCATTTTGTTAAGAATTTAAGGATTAAATCTACATTGCAAATAATTAAAGGATTAACTTTCCACCATGGTCACAATTGAGAACTAAAAATGTCCTTTTCCCTTTCTATTAAAAAATTAGGCCCAACTTATTGAAAACTCTTATAAACTAAGATTGTGCTATAATGCACATGGGCCAAACCACCCTAAAAGATTGAATCCAATCAATTAGCTAGTTTAACCCATGGCCTTATAAACCCATATATTATCACTTATGTTATCAATGTGGGACTCTTAACAAAAACCATAGACTTGCCTCTAGCCTTTGATATACATTGTGTCAATCATTCTTCCACACTCCTGTCTTGTAAATCATGGATTCTTATAGTGACTGAGCAATTTAGAGAACATCAAATTTATATAGAAATCAAACTAAATGGGTAATTGGGCTGATAAAGAACAAAAGATAATGGGTAATGAAGTGGTTTTGCTTAACTTATTCTTGTTGTCATAGACTTTGAGCCATCTTCAAAGACAATTGAAGGAACATACCCTGGAGAGGTATGCAAGCAAAAAGATTGGTGTTTCCAGAGATAAGATTAGAAGCACCCAAATATAAGATCTATGAGCCTGAGGAATGAGATTGTAATATGCAGGCTTTGGTGCTCTGATGCATTCATTGGGAGAACCTATGACAGACGCAGGCCACGCTAAGCTAAGCTATTTATATTGGTCCTTTTCCTGTTTTATTTCTTTAACTTTTTTAGGTTTGTTTTAGTATCCTAATTTTGTGGAAGTATACGTTAAGTTACCGTTGGGTCTTAGGTATTTATTGGTTTAGAAGTGCTAGGAATAAGGCATCTGTTTTGTAATCTGAAATCTGTCTAATGACATTTGGGAGAGGAAGAACTCCAGAACTCTTCAACCTTTTGCTTTGTTTCCTGGTTTTTCTTAGTCCATTTGCAATCATAGGGAGATCATCTTCTTCCTCCATTCTCCCGGCTCGCCCCTCAAGCCCTGTCGGTCGCCCAGTGACACGTTCTCAGGCTTCCAGGCACACAACATGCTCTTTGTGTGGGTGATCGGACTTAGGAGCAATATATTGTTTACTAACCATGCTAAATATTCCCAACTACGCACTAGGACTTTTTGAGATATATATATATATATATTATATATATATATATATATATATATATATATATATATATACATGCAAGAGAGTATCTATTTTCTAGGAATATCTTACGAATTGATCATTTTTTTTGTGTTGCTCTTAAAATCTAAATAAGTACAAAGATTTTAGAGTGCTCTAAACTTAACAGCAAGACTAGGAAATTAATGAAACATTGAACCTGGATAAAAAAGTTTCCATGGATGGGATTTTGCGTCTTGAAAGATGGTCAAGACCTCCTCCTTCAATTGTGAGTACTATGGTTACATTATTTATTTATTGACAAGGTGTATATTGACATTTATTATTATTGACAAGGTGTATATTGACATTTATGTTGCTGTTCACCAGTTGGAAAAGGAGGCTCTTATTAAGGGAGTTCCAATAGGTCAAGCTCTTGACATTGAAATTCCTCCTCCACGACCAAAGAGGAAACCGATTAATCCATATCCTCGAAAGACAGTGGCAGGCACTCCTACCCCCGTTGTAGGGGGAAAGGATGGAAAGTTATATGCATCAGATTCTTCTCTGTGCCAGCAGAAGGAACCGCTTCTGGAGGTATTGTCTCCAGTACAGTTTTTGTTCTTCATTGCCTCGTATCTTTTTTATGGATTCCATAGGCAGTTTAATGTATTATGCTCACACTTTATTTCTCGCTTGTTTTGACATTTGTAAGTATTTTTGTTCTTGAACTATTCTATGTCAGAAACCTGGTGGTGACAAAAAGCTGGATATTGCAAAAGAGAACAGGGAGGAGGTTATCTCTGATGTGCTTACACTTTTTCATGAAGGTCCTACCTCCCCTTCCGTCAGAAACAGAGATTGTTTGCCAACACAAGTGGCACCTCAAAACTCCTGCACTTTTAGGGAGTTTGTGCCTATTGTGAAAGGAACTAACAGGGATGATGCAAGTAAATCTTATGTCACTGTTGAATCCAAAGGCAATCAAGAGCCAGATAAACTGGATACTAAGCAGTCATTTCAGGATGCTAGTTCATGTAATAGCCTGGATATGGAAAACTCTTTTCCATCAAAGGAAAAATTGACACATGGAGAAAAACTTGATGAGCCAAATCAGCCAGATGAAGTGTTCACAGAAAATGATATGCAAGCTGTACAGAGTTGTCCAAGGCATGTGCCCGTGCATATACTTGATGGGAGCTTAGGGATGAATACTAATAACACCCAAGATATGACATATCACGAGTCTATTGTTCACCAAATCGGCGGAGTCCAAGGGCATTTGAATCAGTTCACACATCATGCCTCGTCTAACACATCTGAGCATCAAAGTAATCCTTCCAGGTCTTCCATTCACCATATGTTTCCTAGTTTCCACCCAATGATGGCCTCAAATTGCGACTCCAATGATTACAGATCATCATGCCTGCATATCTCTTCTACATTTTCAAGTCTAATTGTTTCTGCTTTGTTGCAAAATCCAGCAGCTCATGCTGCTGCAAGCTTTGCAGCTAGCTTTTGGCCCTATGCGGCGAACTTTGAAGCTCCAGCAGAATCTTGCACGGGCACCCCTGGTGGAGTTCCATCAAGGCAGATGAATTCAGTACCTAGTATGGCTGCAATTGCCGCTGCTACTGTAGCTGCAGCAACTGCATGGTGGGCTGCACATGGTCTTCTTCCACTATGTTCTCCATTTCACACATGCGTCACCTGCCCTACATCGTCAGGAACTGCAGTTCCAATGGATGCCTGTCAAACTAACGTAGCAAATAATGAGAGAGAGGATGGGACTCCTGATCCGTCTTTGCATGTTCAACAACTGGACCCAGGATGCACTGAAACTTTGCGAGAACAACTTTCAGCTTCTAAGCCACCAGTTTTGTGTTCATCAGACTCTGAGGAAAGTGATGGCATGAAAGTTAATACGACAGTTACTGTTACTGACACTGAACAGGCAGCAATAGTCACTGAGCTTATTGATTCCAATACAACTAAGAATAGAAAACAGGTTGACCGTTCTTCATGTGGATCTAACACACCCTCGAGCAGTGAAGTTGAGACAGATGCTTTGGAAAAGATTGAAAAAGATAAAGAAGATCCAAAAGAGTCTCCTCATGTCAACCATACACCCACACCCACAGAATCTGGTAACAGACGAGGAAAGAACTCCAGCAATCCAAATGACCCTTGGAAGGAAGTCTCTGAGGAGGTAATTGAAATCTTTGTATGTATATTCACTCACTAGTTTGTGCATGTGTTCACATTGTGCCGCATTTCTTTTATACATAGTGTTTTTTCTTTCTTTCTTTCACATTAAATGCTTTCTTTCTTTTATACATAGGGACGAATTGCTTTTTGGGCTCTTTTCTCGAGAGAAGTATTACCCCAAAGCTTTTCTCCCCCCTATGATCTTAATAGCAAGGTAAAGAAAAACAGCGAGAAAGGCAAGCTAAAAGGTGAACAAAATGAGGAGAAGGATCAAAAGGGATTACAGTTAGAGGTGAATGATAAATCATCATCATCAATTAGATGTTCCATTCATTATGGGAATAAGGACAAAGAATCATCATTATCATCATCACGTTTTGGGGGTGGAAACAACACACTGACGGTGAAACTTGGAGAGGGGAAGCTGAAAGCATGCCGAACAGGATTCAAACCTTACAAGCGATGCTCAGTGGAAGCTAAAGAGAGCAGCAGGATAGGAGGAAGTAGTACGGGCTGTCAAGATGAAGAGAAAGGTCCCAAGAGGCTTCGCTTGGGAGGAGGGGAGACTTCAACTTTATAAGGGGCTTTGGCTTGGCTTGCTTGGTATTCTCATTCTCAAACAAACATGTATGTCGTCCGTCCTATTGCTTGTACAATTATCTAGTCCTAAAGATCACGAAACTTGTCGTGTAGGTGTGTGTACCATATACCCATATATATGTTGTTTTAATTGGAGGCTATGAAATGCAACTCAAATAACTTGCAACAATTATATTATATTATATTATTATATTATATTATAGCAGCCAGCTAAAATTAATGGACTTTCTGTCAGGCTTCCCCTGCTGCAAGATGGAATAAAAGGAAGGGTACTCCTTTTCTCTCTCATTATCATAATCTAATAAATTTCTTTCAGATTTGCAATAGAATTGGACAAGTTAGTCGTACTAGATACATAAATAGGATCTTCTCAGGAAGGAAATTCTTGAGATTTGGAATCTAGCTAGAATCATCCATCGAATTATTAGAGCCTAGGTGCTAGGGTTTAGTGGGGAGTTTTTACAACTTCCTGTAGATGAGAGAATGAAGGGTTAGACGAGACTGCCAATTACCAACCAGGTCACTCCAAATTCTTCACCATCATCATGAGGAGTACCATTTACTTATGAGCTCTAAGAGAACTGCTGCAGCAGAATCCTTGGCTTTCTTCACACTCGGCATAGCCTCTCCGATGCATTCATCTATCCATCCTCTATCGGAAGTATTTACACGTACTGCAAACGTAAACCTCTTTGCATGTGCAGGACCACCCTCATGGACACATCTGCAAAATTTTCAGTTCACCGTAAACTAAACTAGCAATTAACAACTTTATTCTACAGATTGACTACTCACCGATACAATGGCATTGGCCAATTTCTACGCAAGCATATATCATTCAATGTCTGTCTTGTAAACGTTTGGCTGCAATTTTTCTTATTCTTCCCCTCCTCCTCATCTTCAACCTTATTGGCGGCGGCTTCAGCAGCCTCCTTCTCTTTCAATGCAACAAGGGCATTCCTAGCAGCCAGTTTTTGAGCCATTTTCTTTTGAGGATTTTGAGCAATTCCAACCTGGACACCATCAACATAAACCTCAACAGTAGCTATGTTTCCATTCCTACAAGCTTTATACTCCAGGCCTTCTGCTTGTTGTTGGCACCGTTCTTGCAGTTCTCGAACTGGATGCATTGGAAGTGTTTCTGGAGTCACCATTGGATCCAATAAGGGTTGAAACACCTGGGGTAATGGTAATGCATCAAATGATAGAGTGAGTGGATATTTCAACTCAACAACCCCAAAGTTTAGAATAATAATAATAATAATAATAATATTAATGAGGTTGAAAATTATTAGGAGCATTTATAAACTAACCCTCCATACAGCTGCTGTGTCACAGCCACTATCAAGAAAAACAGCCCCTGCAATTGATTCAACAATGTCACCAAGAACCTTGGGAGCTTTGCAATCCCCTAATCCAAAAGAGTTTAATTCTGGCTTTGACAGTTCATTTTGCACTTCAAAAACAAAATCGCGAATCTGACCATGGGAAAGAATTAAATTAGTTCAACATTTCACAAAACTAATATCAGTGGAAGAAAAAGGCATCTTAACAAACTGCCAGAGAAGATACTAAACCTGCTTTTCAAGAGCACTAGATCCATGTCGAAGGTGTACGTGAAGGCTACGTTTAACAGCAACACGTGCAAAGTTTTCATTATTCACAGCAGCAGCTCGCAGGTCAGTCAAACGTCCCGGTGGCAAATCTGTGTATGTGAAGAACAAGTACCTAGTAATAAGATGGTCCAATACTGCATCACCTACAAACTCCAGTCGTTGGTAACAAGCCACTCCGGAAGATGGACGTGAAGCATGAGTAATTGCTTCAACCAGTAGACCTTTATCATTGAACTTAATGTTCAAAGCACATTCCAGTGCCTCAAAGTCAACACTCCTTAGTATATTCTCGGGAATGTTACTTGGGCAAATTTTGTTGTTAATATCGTTAGAATTAAAATCAATCTGAATTCCAATCCATTTCATTAAGTGGTTTGCTGAATGCTTTCCACCTTCAACATAATACACACCAATAAGTGCTTCCACAACATCAGCCAGTGTCTTACTAGAGAGAACACGATATGAACTTGAATCATTCTCAAGCTCACCATCTTCTGTTTCCTCATCTCCATATCCAGCAACATCATGGTATGTTTCTGCTCTAGTTGCATTAAGTATTTCATGATCAAATAAGGATGATTCTCCTTCATATGTGTCCTCATCAAACACAGGTGGAACACCAGGGGCAGCCCATCTTGATGGAGAGAACCGATCTGCTTGAATGTATGACTGAAGTCCTTTGTTCAAGGCAAACTGATATAACACCATATTACTGACCATTTGCTGCCGCATTCTGGTAAGTTGACCTTCATGTTTTTGGGGATACTTGAGAAAAAGGAATCGACTAACAACCCACTTTAAATAAGCATCTCCAAGAAGCTCTGCTCTTTCATAACAGAACGTCTCTTGGCAAGAAGCAGCTGTCAAAGCTTCCAAGATCTGAGGAATAGAAATCTCATTAACCAACTGATCAACATAAATAATTTTATATACATATATATATATATATACATATATATATATATATATATATATATATATATATATATATATATATATATATATATATATATATATAATAGGTCATTAAACTACACACGAAATTGCAATTGGGCCATCAAACTTTAAAAAATCTACAATTGGGTCCCTGAACAACACAAAAATCATGCAATTGAACATAAAGTGACCTGTTGACCTGGTATCCGCTGACGTGGCGGTTATCAGATTAAAAAAAATAATTTTTTAAAATTTATTTTAATAATTTTAAATAAAATTGAACTAAATTTATTTATTAAAAAAAAAAAAAAAAAAACACGCCCAAACCCCATTGACGAGGAGACCTCTTTATGGGTTTGAAGTAGCCATTTGATTGTGTGAATTTTCAAGCGACAACAAGCTGAGGCTGCTACCCTTGTGCAGCCATGCCTTTCACATACATTATATAGACACTTGGCTGCTGTCAAACTCGACATGCCCTTTGTGAAGAGGGCTGATTAGTGGCTCTGCTCAACCTGCACTCCCAACCCCAAATTTGTTGTTGGCTCCTGAAGAATGGAGGAGTCGGCCCTCCTCAGGCATTCATAAGACGCAAATAATGCAAGAAAATAATGGTGGTGATATGAGGGTGTTTTCAGTGAGGCTTGAAAACTTCAAAAACCTGAATGTGCAAGGGCATGAAAATTTCAGGCGAAAGAGGTGAACAAGAAAGGGAAAGTAGTAGGTGCAACATGGATGCAAGGAGATGCTTCTCCATGGGGTCATTTCTGTATGATTGATTCTTCATCTCCGGTGGGAGACGAAGAAGAGTTCTCCAGCAGACAAAGAGGGGGTTTGGGGTGGTTTATTTTATTTAAAAATAATAAAATAAATTTAAATTAATTAATTTTTTATTCTGGCGGTTAATTTTTTATTTTGGTAACCGCCACGTTAGCGAATATAAGGTCAATAGATCACTTTATGTTCAATTGTATGATTTTGCGTTGTTCAGGGATCTAATTGTAGTTTTTTTAAGTTGGATGGCCTAATTGCAATTTCGTGTGTGCCTATTTGACCCTTATTCCTATTTCCTATATATATAAAACTCTTGTAGTTGACCCCGGGTTCATCTTACCTTTGAAGCAGGGACAGGGTAGCTTATGATATCCTTAAGCTGCACAGCAAGTAGCATGCTTTCAACTCTCCTCATTATAGAGGGCAATCTCTGAGCACCACGAACCAGGGATCCAGGAAGTGGATGCACAAAACAGAGCTCAGGAGGGAGAAAAACATAATATGTTTTGTCAATAATCTCCTCAGATTCACCTTCATGCACTCAAACATCAAATTTTAACATTTAGTTCAACATGGAACTCTAGCTAAACCAAAATGTAAAGCACAAAAAATATGCTTACCTTCTGAATGTTCAAATCGAGGGGAAAGAAGGTTCTTGCAATATGAAACACCACGGCATCTTAGTAGAGGTTGTTGTCTATACAACAAGTCAACTCCATATCTGTATACAATTTGAACTGAACAGTTAAATGCACAATCTGTTGTACTAGAAGAAATAGCATTTTCCCAATCAGGACTCCCTAAACTACTTCAAGTGGGAAAATACAGGAAAGACAAGTTTCTGTATCCTTAGAAAAACACTGAATGATCCCACTTAAAGAAGTTTAGATAGCCCTTCAATGACTGAGACAAGCTTTTCCTTCAAGCACAACAAAAATGCATTAGAACCATCCAGTCCTCAAAAGGAATCAAGCAACAGTTAGCAGAGATAAAAAAAAACTATGCTAATTCTCTTTCCCTCTTTTGAATCTCCATAGACCATAGAAAACATGCAAAGAAGGCCAAAGTAACAGGAAATAGATGCATACTTTAGCTTATAGTAATCTGCATAAGTACTGTACTCCAGAGGACCCAGATACCCTTCTTTCCTTGGAAATGAGCTCTCTGCAGTCATCTCATAGCGAACAGAGTCAACATAAAATCTTTTCCCAGAGTGAGCTGCAGTGACGATTCTTCCAATCAGCTCCTCTGCCCTTGAACAACAATCAAACATAACTAGCTTGCTGTTGCTTGATTTCACAGTATCACACATTTTAATGGTTAGCCTGCTAGGAACTAAACCAGATGCTTTCACCACATCAAATTGTGCTACAGCTCCTCTAATGCCATATGTAGGATGGGACTTTAATCCAAAAGCCAAACCATGGCGCAACTTTCCAAACCCATATTCCCTTCTATCCCCACCAAGTGCTCGTTCATTAGTACCAAGAAAAACATCAGGTCGTGCTCTTTGAAGTGGATTGTTCCATGCATCTGTTCTAGTTATTTTTTCAACAAGATCCCAATCAATACCTTTTACAGGATCTCCAGATTTACCACCAGCAATGGGAACAAATAAATATGCCTTCGCAGTGTCCCATGGTGTGGTAGATGGCTCAACATCAACATCCAATACAATGCTCATCAGTCTCACATGAAAGCTCTTAAGGGATGCCAACTGAATGAAACCAAATGTCGAGATTTATTTAATATAATTAAATATTGAACACATAAGTTGTATGATAATGAGATAAGGCATACAGCTTATCAACCTGAGTCTCTGTAATCTCCACTAGTCCTTGGAAGACAAGAGATGCCTTTGTTATCACAGTACGAGCAATAAATAAATCCATAGACATCGATAATACCTGTAAGCAAAGATCAGCAGGATGGGTATAGCCCCCATCACAGCAATATTATATGAGAGGAGAAATGAGTTGAGAACTAGATTAAAATGAGAAGAATGCAGAGACAGAATCTGTAGAGGCAACCCCAAGTCCCCAACTAAATTGGTATTAGGGGATTTAGGGCTTAGTAACTTGTGTTAAAGATGAGAAATGAAAACCTCTGCATCCAGCTCATTGCCAAACAGTACAGCAAACTCTGACGCCTGAGTTAAGAATGGATCTTTTGAGGAACCAACATTTACACATTTTACAGCATACATATACAGATGGAAGAATTTTGAGCTGTCACAATCATCCTTCCCCGACAAAATCCACTCACCCTGCAGTTGCAATGTGAATTTAACAAGGAATGAACTTTAGATTCTATCAACACTGGGATTAACACAAAAGTACTAAAGTTGACCATGTTTTATGATAAAATACTAGGAGTTAACATAACCACAACAAAATTTTCTCACTGTTTCTTCAAATAACTTTCATGTTAATGTTCCCTCCATTATGCATATCTAGATCTATACAAAGAATAAACTTAAATCTCTTGCAAAAATTTGACCTTCAACTTAACCTCATAACAACAGCTAGCATGCACAAGACACGTTTATCTAAACAAGGGGATGCATAAAAGCGTGTGGTGTGTCAATGGCCTCATTACAAGAGGGTTTGCAAAGTCTGTTAGTGAAGCAAGTTGATGCGACTGAGGTTAGGGTAATGTGAGCGACTATAACGTGTAAGATCTGAAAATACATTTGGATCTGGGTTGAAATACTTAAGCAGGCTTGAAGCTGAAGCTGACTTTGCAAAAGCGCAGATTTAGCAACATGTTAACAAGCAAGAACTTAATCCAGCCAAGTTAAACTGGGCAAAACTTAGTCCAGCAAAAGCAAAGCCAATTAAAATCAGTTAGGTTTGACATTGAGCTGTAGGCTGAATCCTACATTCCAGACAAAGAAATCTTTCATTCCACTACCAATAAGTATTAGTAACAAACTAACAATAATTTTTTTAATAAAAAATAGAATAACCCTTTTGGTAAGCAGTGATTTTGTTCAGAATATAAATGCACAGAGCTGGTGCTACCAACAGACTTAGAAAACGTCTGTTTTGCATAGCGCTCATGAATCCTCTAAAGCTTCTTCTCTAAACCATCCAGAGATATTTGTTTACATCAAAATATACCCAACTTTAAACTTCTCTAGACTAAGCAAATGGCAAAGTGCTGCAAAAGAAGCTTGTCATTGAGCTGCAAGTTGCAACTTTAGACCCTTTGGAACTTTGGAAGACATTTAATTTTATTTGCATGGACCTAAAAAAATGACTTCACCTACAAGAAAAATACTATATAGACAATTGTGTCTGCTTTGCAAGTAATTACAATAGATCTTATTAAGTCATCACACATCATGAGCATCAGAAAATGATCCTGTGGGGTTTTCTTCTTCCCCTTCAATTTCTACCACCTAATTATTTTGGCCAATACCTGTTCAGAAGTGTCAAACAAGGAAAAACAGAAACAAAAAGCAAAAAGCATAAAACAAAACTAAATGAAACTAACCCGGAGAATGTCAGCTACACCTTCAGGATAAAACTCCCTATGCCTAGCCGTTCCAGGAAGGGGATCACCTTCATCATTTTCCTCAACCTTTTCAGATTCTGTGCCACTTCCCTTATCTGGCAAGAGCATATCAGTAAATGCTCCCATCTCATGGAGCTTCTTGCAAGCATCCAAACAAACCGCCTATACACAACATAGTAAGTATTTAATGAATAATCTCAACTAATGTAGATAGCACTTAACTAAGTTGAGGGCAGTAATAAGAAAACCTGTTGTGAAAGATGCATTGAGCTGCATACAGGGCCCTCAAGTCTATCGAATGGGGCATTGCAGGGGAGTTGAAGCCTACATGAATATTCAGAAGGACCTCCTGGCTTCTCATGGCGCTTCATTATAAACTCGGGACGAAGTATTGAATACCTGGAATAAAAGAACTTGGAAAGAGTCCAAGAGAACAGTAATAAGTAAAAATATTTAACGTGTAAATATGAATCAAAAGACGTGCTTTTTAAATTCATTTTTTGTTTAATTAAAAAAAGACACCTAAGCTCATGCTACAAGAAGAAACAGCACCTATCAGTGGGTAACTGGGAGCAGTAGAAGTGGATAAGTCCAACAGCAGAATTTAAGCTCACAACAGCACCAGTGGATTCCACCTGATAAACTGTACCAGGCAATACCTCTGTGGAAACTAAATCGGAGGCACCTTTGAGATGGCTAATGTCAGTTCTTTCAATGGCTTCCTTCCGCAATGTCTCTTCACTGTTTCTAGCATTCCTTAGGAAGGTTTCATGTGACAAATTTCCTCTAAACAAGATATGGTAAGATTTTTAGAATAAAGGTTGCACATCTTTACAAAAGCAGACGTTCAGACAGAACACAAACAATGTACCTTTCGACCATCAAAATGTAATCAGACCCTGGCTTTCTAGCACGGCCCCTAGACTGAATGTAAGCCAGAACAGTTTTCGCAAGATCAAAGCGGATGACAACATTGCATTGCCGTATATCAAGACCTTCCTCAGCAACACTAGTAGCAACTAACAAGTTAACCTGGCAAGGATAAGAAATTAAGTATGAGAAAATGGAAAAATAATTACAAAGCTTTGTCCTGGAACTGTTAAAATATTCTGAACTTTCAAACGAGAAGCAATTTCATAAGTAGCTACTGGGTGGGTAGCACAATTCTCATTGGCATGACGAAATATCACAAAGAAGTTTCAAGGCCGATGAGGGTAGGGGTAAACAGTTGTGGAAAAACTAAATAGTAAGTGGTAGCAGTGGTGGCAATAAATAGGTAGAGGTAGGGTGGGGGTAGTAAGTAGGTTAGGGTGAGGGTGAGAGTAGTAAGTAGGGGGTGGGGTTGGACTGATTGATAGGTGATTATGATGATTGTCATACATGAAGACACATGTAAAATTTTACATTTGAAAAATTCAGAAAATACATTGTGTTTACCAAATTCCTTTATCAAGTTAGAGCATCACCATCAAAGCATATTTTGGGGAGAATATACAATACCTGATGACTTGGAAGATAGAGAGGGTAAGAGAGAGAAATTTGAGACCTTCCTGCAAGAGTGGGGAGAATAGCAGAAAGTGGGACCCATGCCTTCATTTGCTCCACTCCCGCACGCTGTGCGTGAGGGCCAAAAAAGGCGCCCAGCAGGCGCGTGCACTGCACGCGCCCGCTAGGCGCGCTGACAGTTATTAAAATATTATTATTTTTATTTTAAAATTCAGTTTTCCTTTTTTTTTTTTTTTTCTTTTTTTCTCCCCCCTCCCATCTTCTCTTTCCTAATCACTCTTACATTCTCCCCACATTATCCCCAACTGATGCGGATGCTCTTAGTAAACAATCCATTCCATTTTTCATTTTCCAACAGTTCGTTTTGATCAGAAAACTATTTTTCGTTGTCTATTATCGATTTCCCCAAGAAGAATTCTCCAGCTACTAAATAAGCCCTTACCATCTCGAGGATTCCTAAAGGAAAATAATTTTTGATGTTGGATTATAACAATTTCTAAACTAGGATTATTTCTACTATAACAATTTCTAAACTAGGATTATTTCTATTATAATAATTTATATATCTAGTATATGAGTATATATCCATAATCCACTTGTAAATAATAAGATAACGGGAGTATAAGTTCATTTTCTCCCGTTTTCTGCTCCTCTTCTACATTGATTGTGTTCTAATACACATTTTAAACATACTAGGAAAAAAAAACATATTTAATATTTTACTAGAATATAATAACTCGTCTAGTCAAATAAGGTAGTCTAAAGATGAAGGAATAGTTAATGAAATAATTTATAAGTATTCGAAATTTTTGCTTTAATGACAATCATTGTTGATTGGCAAAAATTCAGAGAAGGTAATCTTAGAACTAAAGCATATGTGATCATCACAGATCCAACATATTGGTTGAAAGACAGACATTATTGAAATGATAAAAATAAAAGGGAAGTATCTTAGGATTTAGACATACTCGACCATCACGGAATTTGGCAATTGTTTCTTGCATTTGGCAAGTCTGCATTTCTTGGCTATTATTGTGGCCAATCAAGCTTGCTGACTTCACAAAACTTAGTGAAGGCAGCTCTGCAAATACCTGCATGGTTGTCAGATGTAACTTTCTTGCAGATCAATGATATGAGTATATGACGAGTTTCACCTTAAAAGGAAACTAAAGTTAGTTTGTCCACCTTAGGGAGAACCAAAGCAGCAACAACACGTTCAACAAATATAATAGCACGAAAATCCTCCGTGTGCTGATAGTTCAGAAGAACTTTTATTAATGATTGAACCTTTGGTGTAACTTTTCCATCGGCAACAGCAGCTCCAATTATCACATCAACATGCTCTCCACCAGATACAACTATAAAATACAATAATAACAGAATAAAATACAACCTCAGACATATATTTAGAGCAAGTATGCCAGTGGTTAATATCTCACACATCAGCCACTGTTTAAGAATATCAGTAATTAACCAAAGCACTGTTCAACATTAATCCAGAAAATAATTAAGGAACTAATGATATCCATAATTTCTCACCATAACTATCGAGAAGCTCTCCCTCCTCTATCTCATCAGGCATGTTGCTGTCTAGAGTCTTACAAATATCCATGTCCTCAACTCTAGCATTACTTTCTGCAACAGCTCCCTCAGTCAGCTTGCATTGCAAAAGAGAGACAACTTTACTGAGATAGGATTCTTGAAACTTGACATCAAGCTGATAATTTGGTCTCTCATCACTTTGTAAAGCTGTTAGAAAAGAATGGGCAACCTGCAATAGAGAAAAGGCTTCAGTCAAACTAATCACAAACTTTCGTTTGCCTATAAACAATGAGATAAGAAAAAAGAGAATTTGAATGATATGAGCCTATAAAAATAACACCTTAAAGGCACACCATTGCCCTAGTTCACCAAGTGCATAATTTATAGCCCTCAACTTTTGAATTAAATTAGCAGCCCCATCACTTTCAGTTCTTTCAGAAACACCATAGACCTGGCGCAACTCTTCCTTAACTCCAGCATCTCGAGCTCCCATAAACTGCCATTTACTTCTTCTTGAACTTGATTGGGCAGCTAATTCAACTTCCACTTCCATTCGTTTAATTTGTTCGTGAAGAGACCATAAAGTAGCAGCTTTATCATACTCCACTACTATTTCAGATGGCATTGGCACATGTTTCTCCAGTTCCTTGCGGTCTTTTATAGTGCAAACAACAGAATCCAGTTTACTCTCCAGATTACGAATCTTAATTGCACAATCCACTTGGCTGGAAACACCTGCGTGAGTGCCAAAAAAATCCCCTCTGACATATCACTTGCCAACTCATTGATTCCAAGTCAATTCAAAGAGCAAAGAACTTTCAGAAGAGATGGCAGTCCGTGTAATTATAAAGCACGTATCAAAATCTTCTAGACACCCTCACTGATATAAATTACAAGATAAGGTACAACACCTCCATGCAGTATTCCGCTATACAGGGGAACTTTAAACAGGAAATCAAAGAGGATACAGCCTAATATATGCAAATAAGAGACACACCAATACACATATTGACAAACCTAATAAACAGGGGGGGTGAGGGAAGAAACCTTGAAAAGCATCAATTAGGAACTCATTAACTTCAACAAATCCAAAGTTCTAGCTAGTACAGGAAGAGAAAAGCAGAAGAATACCCTTTAAGTTAACAGGAGAAGCAGTCATTCCAAAAACTGATGGTCTTTTGCCCTTTGGAGTTGTGTGGTAGAACTCAGACATCACTAAAGAGTATGGATGCTTCTTTACAGCATGATGGCATTCATCCAGGATAAGGAGATTGATAGACTCCATTTTTATTATACTATGCCTCAAGATGTTCAACAAAATTTGAGCTGTCATTACTAAAACCTGGAATTAGAAGACCAGAAAATACAGATGAGGCAAACAAGCTGTACTGTCATATGAGCATAACCTACAGTCTTCAATCAAAGATTGATGTGTAACAACCATGGTTGCAATAGGCGCTAGGCGCTAGTCGGGCACCCGGACAGCGCCTAACGCCTAGGCGGTCTAGGCGGAATCTATGCGGGCGCCAAAAAAACAGTGGTAGACTAGCAGTTTGACAATTTTAATGAGGTTGTTTTCAACATTTAATCAAATAACACATCCAAATAAATGAATTAATGATTATTCATAAGTCATAACATCAAAACAATGGTTTTCAAATAAAAAAACATTAAAACAATATTAAAAATTAAAAACACTCAAATATGAAATACTCAAATACTTCAATCATCCAAAGATTCAAAGTATCAAACTAGTCTACAAGTGTATATATGTCATATTATATATATGTATGCGTGCGCGCGCGCGCGCACACATATATAATAAAAAAATAGGCCAAGCCGATGGGTTAACTCGACCGAAATGGACGAGTTAGCTCGACTAACTTAGACGCTAGGCGGCCAAATCGGCCGAGTTAGGTGCTAGGCGGACGCCTAGGCGGCCGGTAACCTAAGCGGGCACCTAGGGGGGAAATCGCCACGGTCTAGAGGCGCCTAGACCGATTTTTACAACCCTGGTAACAACTTGATATAATATTCAGTTCTTTCTCCTTTACAGCACGTTTGGTTCACGGAATGAATTTGGAGGGAATATGAATGCTATTCCACATGGAATGGAATAGGTAAGGAATAGAATAGGAATTGTATTCTGTTGTTTGGTTGGCTGAAGGAATAGACTTTAGTAATTGTATTCCAGTGTTTGGTTGGTTAAAGGAATAGAAATGGAATAGGTTTTAAAGACATAAATACCCTTATACAAAATAATAATAATAATAATAATAATAATAATAATGAATATGATTATGATATACTGAATGTTTTATATATATATATATATATATATATATATATATATATATATATATATATATATACACACATGTATATGCATGTGTGTGTGAGAGAGAGAATAATAATAATAATAATAATAATAATAATTATTATTATTATTATTATTATTATATAAATACATAATTATATTTATATTTATTTTCCCACTTATCCCACATCGATTGGAGAAGTAAGGAATGGAGCCTTGAGACTCCTATAAAAGGAGCCTCAAGGCTCCATAATTTCAATTGCAATGTTCATCTGCTAGACAAGCTTGCATGCCCATCCGCTAGGCATGCAGATGGGCAGACTACTTATTTTAGGAGCCAAGGCTCCATAATTAAGAAGTCTTATACAATTAATTTTTTTATTTACATATATATATATATATATATATATATATATATATATATATATATATAATAATAATAATAATGTGCAAAGGGTATTTTTGGTATTTGTGATATAAAAGCTATTCCCAAGGGCATGGGAATAGCTAATACCAAGACCCCCCTAGGAATGGCTATTCCCCTTGCGAAGGTAATAGCTCATTCCTAGGCATGCTATTCCCATGACAAAATGATTCAACCAAACGATGGAATAGGTCTATTCCAAGGAATGTTATTCCATTCCTGACCTATTCCATGAACCAAACATGTCATTAGAGTCACAAGGGATACTATGACTCTCAACCCAACTAAGGGAAAATACAAAGTACTAGAAAAGAACATTCTTTGCAGTCTATGCAGATAGTATAATGCAATACAGCAAAAATGAGATTTGAAGTTAAAATTCTAATCCACCTGTTTGGTCTCAAACTCGCGTTGCCACCGGCGTGCATCCCAGAAATCTTGGCCCATTTCACCACAGTAATGCCCTACTTGATAGCCAGTTCGCTCCCGAATGACTTCTGCTTGCTGCATAGTAGATAACAAGATCAGTTGAAAAATCATTCCATTTCATAAAAATAGAAAAAAGTTTAAAGCAAAATAGAAAAACCTTGCAAAAAAAACAAAACAAAAAACAAAAAACAAAAAACAAAAAACAAAAAAGAGAGATCACCTGGTAAACCAGTGGAACTTTAGGAACCAAAAATACAGCCAGTATCTTTTTGTTCTGTTTTTGCAAATCAGTGTAAAGACTCCTTATAAGAAGGATTGCTATGAGTGTTTTCCCCGCCCCTGTTTCAAGAAAAGCAATAGTATTTTTCTGCTTTGCCTGTTCAAGAACATCCAATTGGTATTGGCGGGCCTGCTCTTCAGGGGGTTGTTCCTTTGGTTTTTCGGGTTTTATCTCCTGCCCTCCATTCCATTCAAGGCTTTTCCCGGAAGGGAGCTTCCCTTCTCGGTTCCGATCAGCTTCCCATAAACCTGTTCGGAAAACCATCTCATTCCTCTCTTTATCCCTCTCCCAATAACCTCTCCCCTCATTCCAATCTCTCTCCCTCCTGAAACAACCTTGGTGTTCTCTTCTCTTAATTTGATCCCTATCTCGCCTATCAATATCACTAAACTCACGAAGTCTTTTCCTCCCTAGAGGTTTGTCAGGGTTTCTTCTCTCATTCATGCTGCTCTCACTGAGACGCGCCCTTTTTCCGTATCTCCCTTTGTCACTAAGCTGGGAGTATCCATTTCCTTTACATTCAGGCCTCGCCCTCCCAAAACCACTTTCACCCGGCTTGACGTTGTTATTCATATGCAGGTGTCCATTACGATGATTAAACTTGGGATCCTTGAAAGGACAGGAAGTTTCAGATGTCACAGGTGAAGAGGCATGATTTTCATGTCCATTGATGCTGCAGGGTGTGGATGGAGGATGAGCACTACTTCCATTCTTGATGTTTTCAAGAATATGATCAATCTCACCAAAAAAACAAGGATCAGGCTCCTCCTGATTGGAGGTTTGGGAGACCAAAGTGGCAGTGGCATGTGAATCACAATTGACATATTCGTGAAGAAAATCATCGCAAGGAATGTCCTCGCAAGCATCAATCCAGTATGAGGGCTTCAAATCATCGGCGGCATTAACTGAAACCCTAGCCTCATCACCATCCATAATTTTGTATTGTTTATTGTTTTGTAATTTAAACAACACTGAAATTGTAGTAGCAGTAGCAGTGCATAATAAGTGAACAAAGAAGACGACGGATCGTAGGTAGCAGCGGGGTGAAACGTAGAAGGCTCAAAAATTGCAACAACAAAAACGAATAATAAATAAATAAATAATAATAGATAAAAAGGAGTAAAGCAAAAGAGAATAAACAAAAGGAATCGAATGCTATTGAGATAAAAAAGCAAGCAGCAACAAGTTGAGTTGACTTGCAGGGACGGAAAATTTCTTGAGACGATAGATTGGCGTGGGGATAGACCGTACGGAGCACGCAAATAATAAAAGTAGCTCAAGCCAGTGATGGATCGAAAAACAGACAGACAGAGAGAGCAACCCAGCAAATTGCGTGATTCCAATATTCCCCTCCCCACCCCCGCGATTCTGCCCCCTCCGACCGCCTTTACTTCTTTCCCCCTCTTTATTCCCCTTTCTTTCCTCCCTTGGATAATTTTTTTTTTTTTTTTATAAGGAAGGGGGATAACCTACATATACACACTATTGCCTCAATTGAGGTTTGAACCTTACAAACCCCACTTAGGGGAGCAACCCGATACCAGTGGACTACAAGCCACTTGGTTCCTCCCTTGGATAATTAAATGTACTACTATCATCTATCTATCAAATTTCGGGTTTAGGTTTACTATAATAACTTCTCCCAAATGTAAGTGAAGAGCATGGTTGTTTATCTAAGGGTCCATTTGGAAAGTAAGAAAATGACTTCAGAAAAATATTTTTGTATGTTTAGTTCATTTTCTGGAAAATAAGTAGAATTATATAATTAAATATTTTAATTATTTTATTTAGAATAATATAACATGTATAATAATATAATAAAAATTTTAAATATAATAAAAAAATAACTAATAATATTTCAAAAATATTATGGTGGTGGTGGTGGTGTAGTGGTAATAGTGTTATTTGTTACATAATAATAATAATAATAATAATAATAATAATAATAATAATAATTGGTGGTGGTATGACGGTGGGGGCAGTGATGGTGATGATGTGGTTGCGGTGGTATGGTGGTGGTGGTGGCGGCGGCGGTGGTTGCTGTGGTGTGGTCGTGGTGGTGGCGGTGGTAGTGGTGGTGGCGGCGGTGGTGGTGGTGTGATGGTGGTGGTGGCGGCGACGGTGGTTGCGGTGGTATGGTGGTGGTGGTGGCAGCGAAGATGGTTGCGGATGGTGGTGTTGGTGGTGGTAGTGGTTGCGGTGGTATGGTGTTGGTGGTGGTAGTGGTGGTGGTGTGGTGGCGGTGGTATAGTGGTGGTGGCGGCGACAGTAGTGGTAGTGAGGTGGTGGTGGTATGGTGTTGATCATGTTGGTGGTGGTGTGATGTTGGTGTAAAAGTTGGAAAATGACTTCCCCCAAAAAAGGGGAAGTCATTTTCCTCCAAAACAAGCATATTTTCCAAAGTCAACGGAAAATGATTTCCGTTGACTTGATTTTCCAGGCACATCCAAACCATGAAAACTTAGAAAATGATTTCCAGAACTCATTTTTCCAGGTTTTCAAACACACCCTAAAAGAAAATGGTGTCTGAAGAGGGTTTGACCAAGTAACAAATTAAGGATCACGCACTTTATGTGCCTAATCATTCTTCTTTTTTTTTTTCTTTTTTTTTTTTTTTTTTTGCAAAGCAAAACATAAACTGAGATGGAGTATAAATCCACACTCTACCATCAGTCATATAAAGAGATTCCATGACTAAGAGATGGACAATCCGATTTGTTGATCGTTTGGCAAAAGTAATAAAGACATGGGAATTTTTTTTTACATCAAGAAGTAACAAATCAAAATGAGAGTCTTGAGCCTTTCCTGACAATCCTTTGACGACTTGTAGTGTATCCACCTCAACCTGAAAAGTCTAGTGATTCTGTTCTTGCATTCATATAAGGGTCTCCCTCAATGATAGAGCTCCTGCTTCTTCCAGAGTGTGAGTTCCTCTCTACGGGATGCATTTCGCAACAACAAATGCTCCATGATCATCACAGATGATTCACCCAAAGCCCATGACATCTTTGTCAATATCAATTGTGGCATCAACATTTAACTTCAAATGTCCCTGGCTTGGCTTTGACGATGTGGCAATAAAATTTTGGTTTGAGTCTTCCCGTTGGGTATCCTCCTCATTAGCTGCTTTCCAGGCATGCAAATGAGTCTTAACTCTCTCCATGATAGCTCTTAGCGAGGTGTTATAGAGTTGTTCCAAAGTTTATAATTCCTTGCTATCCAAGTATACCAGCAAATCATCAACAAGAGAGACTATTGATCCTTTCCCAGAACTTTGATATTTCAGACCAACCAATATGTGAAAATGATATTTGCCATGTTTTGTAACATAGTTAGTTTATAAGACAATTTTGACTTGTTTGACCATTTTTAGCTATTTGACTTAGATAAACAATCAATATGAGTGTTTAGTTAATCAACTTTTTTGTAACAGCTTATTGCTCCAAAACGCTAAAATTCAAAAAGCTGCTCAAATGAGCTTTTTTTATAAGCTTTTTTGAGAAAATAAATTATACCTTTAAGGGGGCGTTTGGTTCAGGTCATCTTAGATTACCTAGGTAATCTGAGTCTGGTAATGTTATATTACCTTGTTTGGTTCAAGTTGTAAGATATCTGAAAGCTTATGTGGTGGTAATGTTTCAAGGTAATGTGATTACCCCCATTTTTTTAGGTAATCTTAGATTACCTTGAATTATTCCAACTTTGCCTTTGTTAACTAATCCTTATATAATAATATAATATAATATAATAATACTAATAATAATGAAATTAATATATGTGTATATTTATATATTTAGTTTTTTTTTTAATATTTAAGCATTGATATACATTCATACATATAAATAAATACACACACATTATATATATCTACATCTACAATCTACAATTCTAATAAGAGCCAATAATGTTAGGCCCTTAACTGGAATAAAAAAAATGTTGGTACTATTTGTTTCTTAAAATGAATGGTTCATAGTATTTTGATTTTAGTATTTTTAATGATTTTTCTTATTTACCCTTTATTATATTATTTTCTTTCCTTAAATAACCTTAAATCCGTTAGTATAAACTTTATTAATGGAATATTCTGTTAACTATTTATTATTCTTAACTTACTCATTAATTTCTATAAGAAAGGTCTTAGGTTCGAACCTCATTCCAATTAGAGTTAGTATAATTGTTAAACATATACTACGTATATGTTAAAATGTATTAAAAAATATAATATAAAATTTAACATAAACTTTGGTCAAATAATTAGCCCGACTAAATACATACTATTCAATGATTATAAATCAGGAACTTTGATAATCATTTGATTTTCTTTCATTAAAAAATAATAAATTTAAGTTCAGTTTTTTTTTTTCGATTAATTAATCTTCTTTTGAGTCATTGACAAACTCTCAAAACAATTTGTCTCAACAACGAATGAAAATTTAAAAAAAAAATCAATAATTTCATTATTGTGGATGAAAAGTATGTACGCCACTTTATTCAATCGTTATGCTGTGGAACTATGTCCACCTTGCAATGTGGACACAGTTTTATGTTCATAATTACTTAACTATATGTTCATAATTATAAAGCTATATATTCATAATTTTTGAACTTCATATTCATAATTATTGAACTCTATATTCACAATTACAGAACTCTATGTTCATAATTACTGAACTATATGTTCATAATTATAAAACTATATATTCATCATTTTTTAACTTCATATTCACAATTATTGAATCTTTATATTCATAATTACAGAACTATATGTTCATAATTATGTTCACAACTCTATGTTCATAATTATACAACTATATGTCCAAAATTTTTGAATTATATATTCATAATTATGAACAGTTTTGGAACCGTGTCCACCTTGCAAGGTGGACACAGTTCCACATCATAATTTTCCCACTTTATTGCTCTTATTACTTAAATTAAAAAATAGATTAGTAGCTACAACAAAAAATAATATATATGCATTTAATTAATTTAGAATGAGATGTCTCACAACACATGAAACATGTAGGTGAAAACTACCACTACCAAATATCAACATGCGTTTGTAAGATAAAGAGTTCATACCACAACTAAGATCTCAGTCATATACACAACAAGACAAATCTAAAACTTCATACACCATAATCTCATTGCATGATGAATCCCTCTATGATACTACCAATAAACCAATTGCACATGACACACTACTAATAACAAAAAAAAAAAAAAAAAGAAAAAGAAGAAGAAGAAGACATGTACTGAAGATGAAAACAATAACAATGCTACCTAAAAGAGAATTAGAAAAATTTAAACAAAAAATAGTATTTATTTAGACTATCGCTTTTAGACTTAGTACTTAGATTAACGTTATTACAAAGTTGCAAACATTTATTTTTGTGACAGTTATATATAATCAATCTCTCATATATTATCTTGCATTTATATACTTTAAATTACCGATTTAAATAAATAAATTCAACATTTATTTACCTAGCATGAACATCTTCTATATAATATTGCATTGATATACTTTGAAATACTTATTTAAAAATAAGTATTGGGCATTATCCTATTCGCGCAAAGCGCGTAGAAAAACTAGTATATATATATACATATATATATATATATATAATATATATATATATTATATATATATATATATATATATATATATTGTAAATTGATCCATATAACCTAAAATATAATCTTGAACCAAACAAGGTATATTATATTACACCATCCAAATCAAACACACAAGGTAATCTTACATTTCCAATATCTCACATTACCTTCTTGAAGGTAAACCTATTACCTAGGGTAATCCAAGATTCCGTGAACCAAACGCCCCCTAAAGGTCATTTTGCAGGTAATCAGCTATTAGGTAACATCTCATTCATCTCATTTACCAAACATCTTTCTACAATAAGATAATGTTATCAATTAGTCAAACCCACTAACTCAATCTGCTAACAGCTATTTGCCAAACACCCCATTATCTTTTTATAATTAGATAATGCTATCAATTAGTCAAACCCATTAACTTAATCTGCTAACAGTTATTTGTCAAATACCCCATTATTGTTAGAAGTAATATGCAATCCTAATATAGTCTAGCAAGCTTGAGCAACCTGAGAGTGAATAAAAACATGAGTGGTGGTCCCTCCTCAGTAGCACATAATACAGAATATCTGCTACATTGAACTATTTTAGAGAGTAAATTAGTTGTGGGTAGGACTGAAGAGTAGGTTTGCCACATAAAAAAAAAAAAAAAACTCTTGATTTTGGGATAGTTATGCCATGGATCGGGCCCACCTTGCAAGGTGAATTTGAGTTATATTTACAATTTAACTCTATATTCACAATTTTAGAACTCA